CCAAGATTATCTTCTGTGTCTGTATTTATTGGTTTCCCTTTTCTTTGTTGAAGAGGGTCTGTGCAATCCTTCTGCCTAGTCCGCCATCTTGCCCCGCCTGCTCCTGGATGTTTTGGTTTTAAGATGAGTTTACTACACAACAGCTGCATGAGTAGGAGAAACCTCCAGCTTGCTCCTATGGGCCTGAAAGGCAAGGGGACTCCACCCAGCCCCAGTGCTTTTACTCTGAACTCAGACTTCTAGTCTAGTCTTCCCCTAGAGCAGGCACTCTGAATTCAGACTTCTAGCCTCCTCAATTGTAAGAGAATAAATTTCTGTTTGTTGAAGCCATCCACTTGTGGAATTTCTGTTACAGCAACAATGAAGAACTAAGACACAAACCTTCTTACTCACCTGCAGGGGTAGAGGAGTTTGTGAATAGTTAAGGGCTCAACTGCTAATCAAATGTTTGGTGGTTTGAGTCCACCCAGAGATGCCTTAAAAGAAAGGCCTGGTGATCTACTTCTATAAAATCACTCATTAAAAACCCCAGGGAGCCAAAGCAATCTAAAGATTCAAGGCAATCCCAATCCACATTCCATCAACATTCTTTAAGAAAATGGAAAAACCAATCACTGATTTTACATGAAATGGAAAGAAACTTTGGAGAGGCAAAGCACTCAGAGAAGAAGAAAAAGGAGGTCTAACACTTGTCAGTCTCAAAAGCTACTATATTAGGCATGGTAGTCAAAACAGCCTGGTACTGGCAAACGATAGACACGTAGACTAGTGGAACAAAATTGAGAATCCAGAAATAGATCTATCCATTTGTGGACAGCTGATCTCTGACAAATGGCCAAAATCCATTAAATGGGGTAGTCTCTTTAACAAATGATGTTGGAAAATATGGATATCCATTTGCAAAAAAAAAAAAAAAAAGACCCATACCTCACACACCATATGCAAAAGCTTACTCAAGATGGATCAAAGACTTAAATGTAAAACCTAAAATTATAAGGGACCTCTGGTAGCATAGTGCCTAAGGCAGTTGACTGCTAACCAGAAGGCTGGCAGTTCAAACCCACCAGGCACTCCTCGGAAGGAAGGTTGGGCAATCTACTTCTGTAGTGATATTGCCTCGGAAACCCAAGGAGGGGTCGCTATGAATCAGGTCCAACTCAACAGCACATAACAACAACAACAAAATTATAAAGTTCATCAAAGGAAAAACAGGGGCATACTTAGGGGGTTTAATATGTGGCAGCAATAGACTATCAAAACAAATAAAAATTCACAAACAGCAAAAGATAAACTAGATGACTAGGACCTTCCAAAAATTAAATTCTAATGTGCATTGAAAGACTTTGCATAAAGAGTAAGAGAACCTACAGATTGGGAAAAAAAATAATTGGCAATGACATATTTGACAAGGGATTTATCTCTAAAATTCATAGAAAACTTTAACACCTCAACATCAAAAAGACAAACAATCAAATTTAAAAAATGGGCAGAGGACATGAACAGACATTTCATCAAAGAAGATACTCAGGCAGTTAACACACACATGAAGAAATGCTCATGATCATTAGCCATTACAGAGATGCAAAACTAAACAACAATGATATATCGTCTTACCTCAACAGTAATAGCAAAGTTCAACAGAAAACAAATGCTGTTGAGGGTGTGGAGAGATTAAAACTCTCAAACACTGCTAGTGGGACTGTAAAATGATTCAACCACTGTGGAAATGATATGGTGCGTCCTTAAAAAGTTGGAAATAGAAATACCATTTGATCCGCCCATCCTACCACTGGGTATATATCCTAAAGAAGTGAGAGCTGGGACACAAATAGATATATGTACACCCATGTTCATTGCAGCACTATTTACAATAGCAAAGAAATAACCTAAGTGCCCATCAATGGATGAACAGATAACCAAGCTATGGTACATACACATGATGGAATACTATGCAACATTAAAGAATAATGAAGAATGAGTGAATCACTTCATAACATGGAAGAACATGGAGGACATTATGCTGAGTGAAATAAGTCAATCACAGAAGGAAAAACACTGTATGAGTCAAATATTATAAAAAGTCAAGGAAAGATTTACACATGGAAGGAAACTTTCTTTGTTGGTTACCAGGGATGGGAGTGCAGGGAACATTGCTAGCTACATAAAACACACATATTGATTTGGTTGAAGGGAAAGCCAATATACCAAAAGCAGGTAACCAGCACAACATCACTAAGGAAAAAGAAGCCACAGGGAGGTGCACAAGCATTACAGACAACAAAGGTAAATACTTTTTCTTACACAATACTGCATTATCAGTAATATCAAACATTAATCTATAGGCGGATACACAGGGAGATCGGTAAGATGATCAGGTATGGGTAGGCAAAAGGGAATATACTCGTAACCATATATAGATATGGCAGCCAATATTTCTGTATACATATTTGCATGTGCTATAAAAAAGTCCATATATATATATATAATAGAGCTAACAAAGTTATGAAAAGTCTTTTTAGCCACAACCAAACACCTTGAGGGAATGAGTCAATGGGCCTGCAGTCTCAGGACCATGGTTGCAGGGGACATCAAGCTTAATTGACATAACATAGTACATAAAATCGGAAGGAAGTTTGGGCAATCTACTTCCATAGTGATACTGCCTCGGAAACCCAAGGAGGGGTGGCTATGAGTCAGATCCAATTCGACGGCAGTGAGTTTGGTTTTTTTTTTTAGTACATGAAAACATAGTTCTACATTCTACTTTGCTGAGTAGCGACTGACATCTTAAAAGCTTGTGAGTGGCCATCTAAGATGCAACTATTGGTCTCTCTTCATCTGAAGCACAGAGATTGAAGAAAATAAAAGATGCATAGAAGCAATTAGTCTAAGGGACTAGTGGACCATGTGAACCTCAGCCTACATGACCTTGAGACCAAAAGAATTAGATGGTGCCCAAATACCACTGTGAGCCACTCAGAAAGGGTTCAAGATTGGAGATCCTGGATAGAGTGGGAGAGAAATGTGAAACAAAATTCAAAATCATAAAAAAAGACCAGGCTGATTGATCTGATAGAGACCAGTGAAACTCCTAAAAGTATAGAATAATCAACCATGGGAGATCAGAAGAGCAGCATTTGCATAAGGAGAAAATTCAGAGGGCCGGAATGCATAGAAAAGAAAGATACAGGGAAAATGTAACCATGGGGAGGAAGTGGGAAGAGAGCTGTTATGTTGTGGGAATTTCATTCAATGTCACAAAACAAAAGCTATATGAACTATTGAATGGAAAACAAATTTGCTCTGTAAACTTTCACCCAAATCATAATAAAACAAAAATAAAAGAAAGGAAAAAACAAAAAAAAAACAAAACAACCCAGGAAGCACAATTCTACTCCGATACTAATGGGGTCGGCAGGAGTTAGAGCTGATTCTATGGCAACTGGCCTTTTATCTAGTTATTTATTTAAACTAGATCTGCACAGTCAGTTTACTTCATAGCTGAACCAAAAAGAAATGGGAACCCAGATCCCCTGTTTCTAAGTCAATAGACCAGTTTCTCAGAAGCATAAAGGGCACAAGACAGGTAGATTCAGGTTTCAGCCACTTGACCACAGGCAACCCCAAAGACACATGTAATGAGCATTACCCAGCCTTGTCGAGGGTCTTAGGCTCAGGCAGCCTGTTCCCAAAAGGTGCATGAGCATACTCATGCTAACAAGGCAAATGGAAGTTTAACAGCTCAAATTCCTCCTCAAGCTTTAGGGGCATGGTTCAGGATTTAAGGCCACTTGCAAAGCTTGCCCACATGACCCTGTTCCTCTCTCCACAGCTCCGGCTCCTGTATGAGTGCAATCCTGTGGCCTATATCATTGAGCAGGCTGGAGGCTTGGCAACCACAGGCACCCAGCCTGTGTTGGATGTGAAGCCTGAAGGCATTCACCAGCGAGCACCTCTCATCCTGGGGTCCCCAGATGATGTGCAGGAATATCTCACCTGTGTGCAGAAAAATCAGGCAGGCAGTTAGTGAGTGTGATCCTGCAGCCCTCCTCTCTTTGTCTTGTACCTTGTACCAAGGACCCTAAATAAACGATAAATGTAAATGATAGTGATGAGAACACAAAAAGCTAATCCATTAATCACATACAACAACTACAAACCTGCCAGTGACAGGTTCAGATGCCATAGTCATTAATGCTGTGGTCAATATCAAGGGCTAAAAATAAAAATCCTCATATGAAAAGACTAACTGGTTTGTCTTCTGTTGTGAATAGTGTTATGAATAGTGGCAAATAGGATTGTAATTCTAAATATAGGCACTGCTATTTTTCTTAAAAGCACTTTAAAAAGGATAATTTGTGTTTTTTGTTTACATTTTATATTTTTGTGCATAAGTTAGGGGTCAGCCATTTTTAATGATCTCAGGTGTTGTGGTTACCTAGTACCACTCTGACAGGAATATACCACAAATGGGATGGTCTCAACAAACAAAAGTTTATTCTCTTACAGTCTGGAGGCTTTAAGTCTAAGTTCAAAGTACCAGGCTCTAGGGACTGGGTGAAAGCCCCTCAACCTTGGGGTCCAGCTCTGCCTCCTGCTCCCGGCCCACTGGAGCTAGAGGCTTTTCTTCACTCAGACAGCTGCTTGCTGCTGAGGCTGAGAAGCCACAAGGTTGACAAGTAAAAAGGCACAGTCCCGATGTTACCAAACCACATGGCAGGCCACTAACTTAAGTCCATTATAAGTCCCAGGGTTGGCAGAGCATGGCAGGCTGCTGAGCAACGACATGGCTACATGCAAGGTCCAAGCGTGCCATAGGCTAGAGACCATTCCCAAGGCTTCTGCTTATGTATGGGAAGCAGACCACATACTCAGCTGCTCACAGTAGATTACACCATGGAGTTGATTACCAGTCTCATCATGGGGAATACTACATCCAGCTGCCCAGCCACTCAACCAGGCCTAGCCAAGATGACACAAAAACTTAACTACCATATCAAGTAACGAGATCATTAAACCAAGTAAGGAGTCCCTGAGTGGTATAAAGGGTTTAGTGATGTAGTGCTTGGCTGCTAACAAAAAGTTGGAAGTTCAAGTCCAAACAGAAGTGCCTTGGAAGAAAGACCTGGAAATCTACTTCTGAAAAATCAGCTATTAAAACCCTATGGAACACAGTTCTACTCTGACATATGTGTCCCGTGTGTTGAAGTCAACTTGATAGCAAGTGGTAAATCAAGTAATTAGTGTTATCCACTTGTGGACAAAAATTACATGAATCAGTTAATAATTTATCTTGGACTGGCTGCTCTGAAAAGTCATATTTACATTGTTTCCTGGTCTGGCTTTCCTTTTGAGCCACCCCTGCCTCATGCCTTCTCTGCTGCCCTGGACTCTGGAAGCTTTCTCCCACCATCTACTAACTTTCACTTTCTGTGCAGTCCACTACATCAGATCACCAGTGTGCTCACCATGTCAAACATGGCTGTGTTCACGAGTTCTGAGATCACCACCAAGGACTTAAAGGAAAAGAAGGAGGTTGTGGAGGAAGGAGGTGAAGGATGGAAAAGATGCACCTGCTAATGTGAACACTAACAATGAAAATGAGGAACAGGAGGCTGACAATGAGGTAGAAGAAGAGGAAGAAGATGGGGAGGAAGAGGAGGAGGAAGGTGATGGTAAGGAAGAGGAAGGAGATGAAGATGAGGAGGCTAAGGCAGACCAGCAAACTGGCAGCTGAAGATGATGGAGATGATGATGTTGACACCAAGAAGCAGAAGACTGAAGAGGATGACTAGAAAGGAAAAAAGGGAAAGCTAAGAAAAAGAAAAAGAAAAGGCTACTATGACCTATTCTCCCTCCACTTCCTGTCTCAGAATCTAAACGTGGTCACCTTTGAGTAGAGTCCTGTCAGCCCACCTCCGGCAGCTGCACCTGCAGATGACATCACTCAGCTAAAACCAAAATGTGAATTTGTAACCCCAACAAAACCACAGCCACTGAGTCAAGTTCAATTCATAGTGACCCTATAGGACAGAGTAGAACTGCCCCACAGGGTTTCCAATGCCATAAATCTTCATGGAAGCAGACTGACTCATCATTCTCCCACAGAGCAACTGGTGGGTTCCAACCAAGCACCTTTTGGTTAGCAGCCGAATCCTTACCCAATGCACCAAGAGAGTACATTGAATTTGCAACAGGGGAGAAAAAAAGGACAAAACTTCCAAGGCCCTGCTATTTTTCCTTAAAAGTACTTTAAAAAGGAACATTTGTGTTTTTTATTTGCGTTTTATATTTCTGTGCATATTGTTAGGGGTCAGCTATCTTTAATGATCTCAATGACCCAGCCAGCTTTCCGAACGTTCTTTGTCCTCCCTCTGACTTTACGTGGGATGTGACCATGTGCATTATAATCTCAAAGGAGAAAAAAAACTTGTAAAAACAACAAGAAAATACAATCTATTCCAGGCATCCTAGTAATTTTTGTGTGTGTGTACTTAGTAATTGGTTTGTATGAGACAGTGAAAAAGGCCAAAGATAGAGCATTTCCTTTTTGTCTATGAAGTTGGTATTTATTTATTCTTTTTCTGTGGCTTGTTTGATGCATGTGTGAAATAATGTTGTCTGACAATAAACCAGAATTTTATTTTGCTGAGTTGATCTAACAATAACAACAACAACAAAAGATTTTATCTTTGTTGTGTCTTATTCTAGAGTGATTTTCTTCTTTGTGAAATATGTACAGTAAAGTCTGTGAAAGACAGAACCTGTGAGAGAAGGAAAACACAAATACACTAAAACTAAATCCACTAGAAGAAGAGAACTTATGGGACTGGAAATAAAAGACAGTCCCATCACATTCCGGTTCTCACAGGTTTCACTATACATGTATTTTTAATGGCTGACTTAATTTCTTAGAAGAGTTTTTGTGCCTTCTTTTGGGTGAATTTTAAGTCAGAAAGCACACAGCTATTAAGCTCTGAAATTTTGATGGCACTTTTTTTGGAGGAGCAATAAGTTGATGATTGATAATGGCTTGAATGGAAAATGTGGTCACCTATTCATAAAGCCAGATGCTAAATGGTGTTAATATTTAAAAAAAATAATAATAATTCTTAACCAGCATTTTCACTCTGGCCTAACCATAACTGTGGGGTGGGGTGACACAGATACTCAAAATTTTAGCTTATTTTAACAAGACTTTCTCTGTGTGTGTGTGTGTGTGTAGAGAAAGAAAGAGGTAGAAGAAGACTGGTGTCAAAAGAATTAGCTAGTCACTTGGGACAAAAGTAAAGTTAGACACCAAAGACTAATCCTTGATGGATGACAGAATTAATCATAAAAAGCATAAAAGTTATTACAAATAAAGGGAAGCATATTCATGACCTTAAACAGGAACAACTAAAACAAACAAAAGGAACAAAAACAGGTGTGACTAGTTCAAAATAAAAACCCACCACAAACAAAGATTAAAAAATGATTGACAGCCTAGGAGAAAATGTTTGCAACAGATGAGAAAGAATGAATATCCAGAATCACACATGTTAAGAAGAAAAAGATGAATTTTACAAAGAAACACTTAGCATATAATACAACTTACAGAAAACACAAATGGCCAATAAACATATGAAAATGATTAACTTGACTGATGATCAGGGAAATACAAATGAAATAAAATGTCACTTTTCACTTATTAGCTTGACAATGGCAATGATTACTATTGACAAAAATGATAAAGATTGATAATGTCAAATATGTCAAAGGGGCTGGAGTATGGCACTGATGAGCACTGGTGTTGATAAGGCAAGTAGATACAGTGTTTTTGAGGGACAATTTGGTACTTTTATTAACATATAGCCTATTCAATGTGCAGACCCTATGGCCTAGCAGTCTAACTTCTCAGCATCTACAAAGAACCATGCAGTAGCATTTTCACTAAATACCTGTTTATAATAATAAAAACTTGAGAATAGTTTAAAGGCCCATCAATAGGGAAATATGTTATATGGAAAAATATACAACTGGGATATATAGAACAAGCTGGGACTTATAGACTCACTCTAGCTTTTTATGAACTGGAAATAAATGTTTCCTGTAGTTTAGACAAAGACATTTTCATATATCAAAATAACAAGAAATAAACATAGTAGCTGGCATCCAAAAGAACTTTTGACTTTTTTTTTTCTAACCTGATGATAATTAGTGAGTTTTTACTTTCTGGCTCTACTTTTATCTGACATCAATTTTCTTTCTCTCTTTCTCTCTTGTGAAAAAGAGAGAAAAAAAGAAAGAAAACCATGAGAAAAGTGGTAGATGGTGAGTCCATCATCTGGGTCTATAAGTGCAAACACAAAAAGATGGCCAAGCCACAACAGTAGATGGAAAAGCACATTGTAAATATATATGACTCAATGCAATTTCTGTAAAGCAAAAAACAGCACAAAAATATATGCATTTCTGTGTAAAGATGTAGAAAAAAGAATTAGAAGGATATCCCTGAGTTAATAATTCGTTATTCCTTTCTCTGGGTGGGGGGAGTTCTGGAATGGTTGTTGTGGGGACGGAGTACCAAGAGAGTTCTTTGCTTGATCTTCATGACTTGACTCTTAAAACAATAAGAATATGTTCATTTTATAACTCATATATAAACCAAAACCAAACTCACTGCCGTTGAGTTGGATGCAACTCATAGAGACCTCTCCTTGGGTTTCTGAGGCAGTATCACTATGGAAGTAGATTGCCCAACCTTCCTTCCAAGGAGTGGCTGGTGGGTTTGAACCACCAGCCTTCTGGTTAGCAGTCGAATGCCTTAAGCACTATGCCATATAATTTATTAATTCATTCAACAAGCAGATTTTATTGGGCGCCTGCTCATAGCCAGGTATTATCCTTGTTACTGAGGCTACAGAAGTGAATGAAACACAAACCACTGTCCTCTGTAGAGATTAATTGCTAATGCATGGAGGCAGACAATCAACAAAACAAGTAAATAAAATACATAGCATGTCAAATGGTAGTAAATGCTGTGGAAAAAAACTATATTCCTGGAGGTAGGGAGGTAGTATTAGGAGAGATTATTTTCATTTTAGGTTGAGTGGCCGAAGAAGGTTTCACAAAAGAAATTAAAAAAAATACCAATCACCTTTGAGTCTATTCTGACTCATGGTAATGCCATGTGTGTCAGAGTAAACTGTGCTCCACAGGGGTTTCAAAGGCTGATTTTTCAGAAGTAGATTGCCAGACCTTT